TGCCTTTGAGAAAAAATGTTATCGGCTGACCCTTTTCGGTTTTTGTTTCAAGTGCGCTGTACACTCCCGCTTGACAAAAGCTTCTTTGGGAGAAAAGCTGGAGGATTTTTCTGGAGAAACTACGGAAAAAGGTGGCAATACTTAGGAAGATGGTAGGTCGGATGGGGCGCAGGAGGAAATTCCAAGGGGGTTATGTTGCAGGATTTATCCTTAACGACAGGGCGTGCCCTGTTTCGTACAGCTTCTACAAGCTGTTCAGATTTTCAGGTTTCACAGTGTATCATCCTAACACGTTGACGATCGCGTAATCCACATGCAAGTTACGCTTAGCACTGCACCTGCACAGCCTGGAACTGCATGAGTTGTATATGAATCACGCTCATCAAACCCCATATCCTTCATAAATGATGATTTTTTGCTTGGTTTCATCTATTTATTCTGAAGCTTCGTACCTACTATGCTCGCGGAAAACGTGGTCCGCTGAAGAATCAGTACGCTGAAGGGTAGCAAAGTTTTTTGTGGATCAGGTTGTATGTGGATCACATCCTGAGGCAAGTTCTTAGCCAAAGAAAAAAATGTCCTGTCTTCTGAGGGGAAGTTCTGCGGAATACTAGCCTAATTATGGAAAACTGGGGATCAAGGGTAAATAATACCCTAGTTTTCACTGAAACATCGAAAAAGAGTAAACAGTGCCAAGAATGTCGTTATTTGGTGATCTTTCGTGAATCTTTCTTTTATATATAATAGACAGGAACGCATTCTTACAGCTCTTGAAGGAAGCATGTTTTCAATTCAAATTCCAAAAATGCTAATCGTAAGACCGCTTTGTTCGTCTATGCATCACTCCTGTCGCGTTCGAAGAAACGCGCGGTCCCACAAGGCCGAAAACTAAAAACGGGCACGGTTGTCAATGTGTTAACTTTTAATCTTTTTAGTTACGACATACAACGATTGTAATAATGAATGGGTACGCTCACAATCTGCTTATTTGTGACATTTATTTGAAGGTTTATGCTCAACTGTATCACAAGCAGATTATGAGAAAGCAGCTGAGGACACACTGGAGAGGTGAGTCAGGTTAGTTGGATGTCGTTATGTGTAGGATTTCGTTGTATGCCGGTAGTTTCGTCTATATGTATTGCCGGTGAAGTCAGTAACATATTTCGCTTTTTCAAGGCTCTCCGATTATCTGGACGTTTTGCCTGACCAACTACAAGTGTCATCCGATTATGACGTTACAAATGCCATGGGCGTGTTGACAGTAGTCATAAGCAAGCAAATAGGTTAGTGCCCTGTTTCAGACTGAGTTTCGGTTTGTTGTATTTGTTCTTCTTGGACTGGACCGTTCGTAGCGAACGCTCACCTGAATTCATATCAGTTACAGGGCATGTTTCTTTCTTGTGTGACTTTATCATCCAATGTGAGGTTAATGTACGAGTGCGCAGTGGCTAGGGCCGAAAAGCTGACTAGCATATCGGAGGGAAATTTTTCCGACGTGGAGTTGACATTATGTTATTTCGGTTGACTCAATGCAGCAGTTGCATTTTGATGGGCTTTCGGATGAGGGCTGAGTCTTAAGGGAAGGAAGGAAATCGTTTCGTGCCCCTGTTACGAGCGTTGCCGTTTGTGTTTTTAGTAACTTATTAGTATGAGTTCGATCGTTTTACTATTACAGTAAGTAGAAGCGAACGTTGATTTATGTTATAAAAAAGAATTATCAAATTCAACATTCAGGGCTGTGAACACTGTTAAAAAAAATCTCATCTGTATAACTGGTTAACTTGATTGTGGCGACTCCCTTCCCTGCTATATTCTTTTTAATAAATATCATTAAAGATGTAAAGCTTACTAATTGTAAAGCGTTTACAAACACGACTATTATTCTGCTTTTAGGCACGTATGTCATCAACAAGCAGTCTCCTAACCGTCCAGTTGATGGCTGTCGAGCCCTATCGCGGCCCCAACAGCGTTATGACCTTTTGATCGTCGGCTGCTAGTCATGTCATAACATCTGCGGCATATCTCCCATGTGCCATTTTTAGACGAGTTTATCGCGATGGAGGTCAGCCCTTTATTGACAACGAGTTATAGGCTCGCACTGCTCCGCGTAGAACTGTAATTTGGAGAAGGGGATCTACAGGCAGCTTGAACTCGTCCTTTTGAACCTATCGACTTTGTTCTTCCCGGCGCACCTCACCTCCTGCATGACTTCTATGACGACTCATTATTCTAACCGGTTCAACTTCTCTGCGCTATAGTATGCTCGCTCACCGCAGTTTTCCACCCTGTGAGACAAGCTCATTCGCCTTGCTCGCTAAGATGTTTTTTTTGCGCCACGAATGCTTGGCAGCCACAGCACTCTTTTTCTCTGCTCATTGTCTTTTCGCACCAGGACAATCACCAAAAGTTCTAGTTTTCATGTAACCAATGGGTCAGGGACATATAGGAAAGTGGCAATGGACAGAAAGGAAAAGTGCTAAGAGTCCCTGGCTCGCAGATATTCAGTACGCATTCATTCACTTTCGTAGGTTGATTTACCTTTGCTTTGCTTTGAAACGAAGAGCTTCGGGTTGGTTCTTGTAATTACGGTAGTGCATTATACATACGTGACGACCCAACAGACTCTCAATCGGCTTCATTAGCTGAAGTGATATTTTTGAGCGCAGCTTCAATCCCCCAACTAATGACTTAAACTATGGATGACCTCCGGCCTTCTGTGCTTCTAATTGTGAAGACTTTTGATTGTGATGCCGCCAAAATTTGTGCCTCAGTTGGGGTTTTTGTTCTATTTCAGGTGGATATACAGTCGCGACAATGAAGCATTGGACACGCTACTGACAAGAGAATTTCAGAAAATTATTCGGATCAGATAAAATTGATTTCCGGAATGTTATCTAAGTGTCCTACCACGTACTATTTGTAGAATGCCTTTCTGTAGATTGGTGATATTTTTCAAGGAAATAACAATCTATCTGCTCTTTCGCGTTACAGGAATGCGAATATAACATCCGCTGTGGTGCCAGATCGGAGCTAATATAGCGGACTCCATGGCGATCAGTGTACGTGTGTCGCGGAATCCCCTACGTGGGGGATAGGTAGGCGTCGTATGTGCTGGCTGAAGCAGAGCACATCGTTGTTGGGGATTCCCCAACAGGGGGCATATTTGATCGCTAGGAGGGGGTTTGTATATGGGCTGAGAAAATTTTGATAGCTATTTTTCGTTCTTCACGCGGACTTTGTAAAGAGAGGGGGTAAGTATTGCTCGTTGTTTTGGAGGGGTTGGTGGGCGAGGTTGTATTTCGTACATATCTTAGTGCCGTCCCCAGCGGGGTTGCTGACTTTCCGAGGTCTTCCCATGTGTACTACACCCAGCCCCCCCCCCCCGCTTAACGGCAACATTTTTGGGTAAAAGTAGAAAATTTTTTGGGGAATTCTGGAAAAAGTGGTGAGGTATTTTCGTCGCGGTTTTTCCGATTCACATGTGTGTGCTCTTAACCTTCCCCTCGACAGCTCGATGAGAAGGGAACCAGAGGGCCAGAGGAGCGGGGGGGGTCGTGCCAACTCCTAAAAAAGGGGGATCATACGGATCCGACCAGAATCCCCAAGTAATAATGTGCCCAGCAGTGAACCGGTGCGCTTGCTTTTGTGCCTCTCCGCCGAGCATGGTACATCCGCCGAGTTGGGCATATGGGAATTCAATCGGCCCAAAGTAAGGTTTATGTAGATTAAGCTACAGCATAGCTATAAGTCACATTTGTCTAAACACAATAAGGAACGCATCAGCTGGCTCAAAATTGCTTCACAGGTCCATGTTCCTATAAACATCACCATAAATCAGAAGGGGTCCACTTGCCGTGCAGCAAAATTTTTTTAGAGGTTCATCGAAGGCGCCTGTGCCAGTTTTATTCAGCACAATGTAAAAAGAGGGACGTGCCTGAGAACCTTACGGAGGTTTCATGTGAAATGTGTTGCAGTGTTAGACCAGATAACCTTTCCCCTTGTTGTACTGATGCAAAGGCCGTCAGCGAATCCGCACGGCGGGGGGGGGGAGGCTTATGGAGTAATCTACAGAAATTTTTGTGCTTATTGGGAAGGAAAATCCTCCAATATTCAAGTTCTTGTGTTTTCTGCTTATCACGTTTACGTGAAGATGTGCTTACTGAGAAGGATGGTGAAGGGGAAATGGGACAAATATCTCGACAGCCCTTACGACCGGGCGCCTTTCCGTGACATGATGCTTGACCCTGATAACAAAATGCACTCCACATATTGCTGTAGCGCACTTGCATTTAGGAGAGGGGGACATCATAAACTCCTGTCCACCCTTAAGCTCCTTGCTCCTATACCTAAACCTGAATCTTCCATCCCTTCTAATTCGATGTGAGGCGAGTGCCACCCGCGCGACATTATGTAGGTGTAGCTCGTAATCGTTTTTTCATACTTCAAAATAAATGCCGTCTAACGCTGGAAACGAAAGCAGTAAACAGATGGGGAAATGGAATCCTCAGTGTCACCTCGACAGGATTTAACTGAATGCCCCCCCCCCCCCCCCCCCCCCCACCCCTTCTCTCCTCCCGCCCTAACCCTAGCACCGTCGTAGCTGTAATGGATAGTTCTATAGTGTCTACGAGGATCCCACTCTGAGGCAATGTACAGAAAACTAGCCAGAATTCCTGAATGTTAACTGCGACACCACAGTAAAGCTTTACACTTGATCAGCCTACGTGCTCTGATGCCAGTCGCTCGCGCGGACACTACCACTTGTAGAAGCAGGCCTTTGGCGGGTGTCTCGACCGCATCGTCGGTCTCCGACCGACACAACGTCATGCGTTGAGGATTGGAGGGCGCAAGGATTGACTGCTTTAGTCGTTTTTTCTATGATTGTGTTGGAGAACCCTACGCAATGTCATTATGTATCCCAGCAACCTTTTGAAGGAAAGCTCTTTATCATTCTCGTGAAGTGTCTGGAACTGGATAGTGCTGCTTTGAGATAAGGGTTAGGGATAGATCCAAATGGGTGAACATTTTGCTCAGTGAAGCTCCTTTGTCCAGTGAATCTGATACGGTTCTTTAAGGTTCCTCTTGATGAAGTGAAAGGTTGAAAATAGTGGAACTGGATACAAAGAAAGGCCTAGATTAATTCCGCAGTTACCATAAAAGTTTGATGCGAAGCATCATGTCCCCATGGTTGCGAAAGCTGGTATTGTGAGTGTTTATAGTGTCTTCATTTTAGTGACTTCAAGCGTTCCACGAGTTTATGTCGTCAGGGTACAGCATCGTTGTGTGATACACATAGCGGCGGGGGGGGTCGTACGTTTCCGCTGAGGAGGTGGGGGAGGGTCGCACCGATACCACCATCTCACACCTCACGATGCCGTACCCTGTATGTCGTACGGCTGGAATCCTTAATGATGGGTCCCATATGGCCCAGGAAGACCTTTGCAGTTGCTGGTTTTTGCCGATTCACGCGCGCTACACACTTCTCATAGTGCGCCGGCGACAAAACTACTATTTCCGATAATTGATCGGAGGTGATTACCTCCCCCTCCTCGACGACAGAATTTCTGGAAAGTCGGTGTGGTGGTTGCTAGGTTGTGAAAGCGGGTTATATTGCAGGGGGATCAAAGTTAGCAAAAACCTTTCCCCAAAGCAAGAAGCCGTGCCTCCGCTTCTATTCGGAGCAAAGGAATCGAGGATCCAGCGAGTACGTAGGTGATAAAGAACGTGTAAACGTTCGGCACGAAGGGATTGGAGACTTTGCACAGTAGCTACTCGCCTGGGGTGCTTATTGGGACAGCGTATCTTGATTATTTAGCTAGTCCATAAATTGGCAATTGGAATCGAATCGCTGAATTCCAGAATATTCCCGAATAAGCATTCGATTCGTGTGAACCACAGGGCATGAAAAGGGTGCGCATTGGTGGATTGAGGCGTAGTCGAAACGGGATTTTTCCACCAATTATGATCTGACGATTGTGAGCTTACAGCAACTGCTGGGAAAGGCTGCCTCTGGCCGCGCTCTAATTGACCTCCCCTCAGGGACAATGACTGTATTTAATTAACATTCTTGCAAATCTATTCGCGCACAGTGATACACATTTCAGCGTTGAAGTCCGAATCTCTTATTGTCACTCTGTTCTGGCCATCAATACAGTATCATTCGTCCTGTTATTGTTAGATAACTGCTGTTTAACGCCGCAGTGCGCGATACGAAAGTTATCACAAGAATGCTGAGTTGTGGGCAAAAGTCGGACCACGGGCGATGCGTATAGGGAGAAGCGACAACTGCCCGGTAAGCAGAAGATGCGGGTTCGAATCCCGTCCGTGGTCCGACTTTTGCCCACAGCTCAGCATTCTTGTGATAAGTCCAATTCCCTATTTTCCAGAGACGCAAGGGAGAAACGCGACATGGGAATTTCCATCGACATATACTGTAGTTCACTGTTCACGAAGGGGCGTGTCAGGCAGTATGAGTGTGCCACATTGGAAAACCCCTTTCTACTGGTTGCTGCAGATACGCGACAGAAAACAGTTGTCTGGTGGAAATGTCTTGTCACCCTTCGCTCATTTAAAACTGGTTTGGCAGCGGCGCGCCCAGACTTCACACTGCCTGACACGCACCTCACGTTCCGCAGCGTAACTTAACCTATGTACCACGTCCCTATCATGCGACCGCGTGGGCGTGTCAGCCAGTATCAATAGTTGTGCCACACTGTTTGAAGCGTCTCTCCAGCCTCTTTTTGTTGAACACGTCCGTATGGCGAGCAAAAGTCGGCTAGAAAGACGGGCTAAATACGCAAGGATACTAAAACAGTAATGGTCATGCCCTGGTTCAAACACTTGGATGCAGCAACGACCCTTTGGCTCGCGCCATAGACTGCAGCCCGCAACTGAGCACGCCCACCGGCGCATGATCGCACAGGACTCTATTACTGTCATATCGCAAATCAGCGAAGCAAAACTCAGTCTCAGAGCTACCGAGAAAAATCACCGTGTT